TGTACCCTTCCAGAGCCTTCCTACCCTGCAAGTCCTGGAGTACACTCCTATTTACAACAGCAACCCCCTTCTCCTTGGATGGCAGAGTTGGTACCAGAAACTGCACCACTCAATTTTTGCTACATATGTTTCCATTAATGTCCAGATGGTGACATGAGAGACTCCTGCTTAACAGGATAACAGTGCCAGGGGGACTGATGGGGCTGGTGTCTACAGAAGGCGAAAGCAGGAGGCCCCAGCCCAGGCAGGACTGAGGCCAGCTCCACAGTATTGCTGAGTCTCACAGGTCACAGTCTTGAGTTCCTAATCATCTCATCTAATATTCTCAAGTGCCACTCGTTATGACTTCGTTACTTTTGGGTATTCAGGAATCTGTAATGCAAAATTGTTCTTTTTAGATTTTTATGCGAACGCAAAATATTTATAAGCTCTGTCTTAAATTAGCCTCCTTTCCAATCCCCAATCCGGTATTCTCTCCCCCTGAATGTTAACAGTCTTATGGACTGGTGGTTTGGAAGCAAAAATTAAAGTAAACCCTCACTGATTCTTACTACCTAGGGAGAATTTCGGCACAAAACAGTGAAAAGACTAAAGTTTCAATATTTTGTAAGAATGGCAATTAAGGAACCATCAAACAAAGAGAGAAATTCAAACCAGTCTGCTAGCAAAATGTTTCCTAAGAGAAGTCTACCTGTAAATATTTCATTCATTCTATACAAAGGCACCCACCTGCTTCAAAACTAAATATGCCCCTCAGACATAAAGTGGCACAGCCTACTGATGAACACGCTGATGGGGACAAATCTCAAAGGCATTATGCTGAGTGATAAAGTCAATCTCAAAAGGTTGGATACTGCACAGTTCTATTTATATGATATACTAGAAAAGACAAAACTATAGTGATTAAGAAATTAGGGGCTGGGGATATAGCTCAGTTGATAGAGTGCTTGTCTCACATGCACAAGGCCCTGGGTTCATCCCCAGCACCACAGATAAAAAAAAAATTTAAAAAAAGGAGGAGGAGGAGGAAAGAAAGAAATGACCAGGGGTTGATAGAAGCTAAGCGCAGAAGTCGGGGGATGAGGGAGGCAATGAATATAAAGTAATAACATGAAGGTTGGCTGTGTTATAGGGACCTATGTGTAGGTTAAATTCCTAGAACTATAAAGTCCCCAAAGAGGCAATTTCAATCCTCAGTACAAAAAAAAAAAAAAAGAAAAGAAAGAAAATAGACAATTTCAAAGTCTCATACACAGAAAAAAAAATGAATATGCTCCTTGACTTAATATATGGTTATATCCAAAAAATAACCATCATAAATTGAAAATAATTAGAAACATATTCAACAGACCTAACCTACTGAACTCCCAGTTTAGTAGCACAGTACACTGCACAGTGTGGCTGTTGGGCTCCATGTTGGCAGGGCTGACTGGCGCTGTGGCCCCTTGCTGCTGCCCGCATCACCAGAGTATTCTACCACATCGCACTTTCCTAGAAAAACACCAGAATTCCAACTGCAGTTCCCGTTGAATATGTATCACTTTCACACCATCATAAAGTCCCAAAACAGTAAGTTGGATCAGCTTCCGTCAGGGCCCAGCTGTACCCTCTTCAATAGGTAGAACCTGCCCCCAGGACCCTGTGGATGCAGTGAGTTAGGCCTTTGGTTTTCCCAGCAGAATGAAACTCCAACCTTCAGGCTAGCCCCGGCTGAATCAATAGATATTCTCCATCACTGGGAAAAGCTGAAGAGCTCACCACGTGCAGTGCCCATACCCTAAGATCGACACAGCACTTCCTAACACTGTGACGAGCACCACAGACAGAGCTGAGACTGAAGATCATCACTAACTGCTCAACTGCTGAACTATCCATCCTTCTGGTGGTCAGCTAAACCACATGTATCTGATAGTGATACTGCAGTTTGGATGTGGTTAAAGTGTCCCCAAGGGCTCCTGTGTTGAAGTGCAGTGCTCCACATGGTGCTCTTGGGAGAGCCTAGTGGGAGGTCCTGGAGTCTTGCTGAGGGCACTGCCCTTGGAATAGCTTAAGAAAGCTGTTATGTGAGCCCCTCCGTGGTTGTTTCAAAGAGATTGTTATAAAAGCAACAAGCTTTTATAGCCCCTCCCCTTCTCTCAGCCTCCAAAACTGAACTAAATAAACCAGTTTACTTTTATAGCTGGTCTGTTAGGTATTTCAGTATAGTGATGATAATACAAGTGACTTTTCATAAATTATATGAGTAAAATAATAAATACTATGAATTATATCTGATCATCAACTAAATTTTCTGTTTGTCTTACCTACATGCTACTAATAACAATCATTTTTAAATTCATCTAAGTAATTTCTTCTCTCAACTACAAAATGAGATGAGGAGATAAGGGATTAAAAAAAAATCCTCCATCCATACCTGAACTCTCAAATAATGATGGTGGAAAGAAGAGATCATGCAAATCTCCACATGAAAATTTTTAAAATGCTTAAAGATACTGTAAGTCATCCGATAGCTGATAGAAGCCAGAAATCTAATTTCTGAAAACAGGTAAAAACCTGTGAATTTGCAGCTTATTAGCTAGAAAATATAATTTCAACCCCAAGGCTACAGAAAACATTGGTGGAGAAAACTGTAGCCAGACCAGGTAAATGTATCAGATACAGAGAATTCAGAAGTGGGAAAGCAGCAGAAATTTAATAAGAAAGTTCTGGCAGCATGAGAACCACAAGATGAGCAAGACCAAATGCAGAACATAAACTTCCTGTGTCGGGCGTGGTGGCGCACGCTTGTTATCCCAGCAGCTTGGGAGGCTGGAGCAGGAGGATGGAGAGTTCAAAGCCAGCCTCAGCAAAAGTGAGGCACTAAGTAATTCTGTGAGACCCTGTCTCTAAATAAAATATGAAAAAGGGCTGGGAATGTGGCTCAGTGGTTAAGCGTCCCTAGATGAAGAAGAAGAGGAAGAGGAAGAAGAACAAGAACAAGAACAAGAAAAACTTCCAAAATCTCTAGTTTATAGCTAATTTATAAATGAGTAAAGGAGACCTCAAAGGAATGGGGGGGAGCAGCAAGCAGGGGGAGATCAAGAAATTAGAGAGAGATCCACTCTTGAAAGATTGAACTTTCAGTGAGTTTGGTACTTTTCTTAACCAAGGGTACTCTCCAATTTGGGTGGCTTAAGTGGCATAAGGCTGAAGCAAAATGGTTCAAAGGATCAGAATAGAGTCCAGAACAGGCAGAAGTAAGAAAACTACTGAGAAGGTAAGTCACACCCATGTCCAAAGCTTGTCAGCCCAGGACTCACAGAGCAAGACTAAAGAAGCAGCCACAGGAAGCCAAACGATGTCAGCAGCCATGTATCATAAAGGAGACAAAGTTGGCAGTTTGAATCCAGGTAGATTAGATGCCTTCTAGCACAAAATCCAAAAATCCTCAGAAAACAGAGGAATTCATTTTCTACAATATGGTTGCCATTTTTTTTCAACCAAAAATTCCTAAACATGCAAAGAAACTGGAAAGTATGACCCATCCCCAGGAAGGTGAGGAGCAGTCAGTTATATTCAATATAATTGACTCTAATAGCTATCAATAGACAAGGACTTCAAAATACCTTTACAGATATGTTCAATTAATTAAAATGAAAAATGTATGGTCAACCAGCAAATGAATATAGAATTTCAACGACAAAAACTGAAAACTAGAAATATTCATTGAAATTCTAGAACCAAAATACAAAAATAACACTTTCAAGGGGCTAAACAACAGATGATAGTTGGCAGAGGAGCCTGACATAGATCAAGAGTGGTCAAATCACACTGATGAGAGTGAATATGAGATCAAATAAATCCTGGACAAGCAGAGCATACACACGATGTAAATAGAGTTCAAAACCAAAATCAGCTCTTTCTCCCCAAAGAAAAACACTCAGTTCTGACAACATCACATCCACAAGTGGTTTATTGGGATTTTTTTTTTTTTTTTTTTTTTTTTTTTTGCTAAAATTGAGAACTTTGGAGAGCCAAAGATGGTGCTGGGACCAGTTGGATCAGAGACATTGACAAGACTTTCAAAGCGAAAGAATCTGTTGTTCAAACACAACTTTAAAGAACAGCTCCATCCCTTCAAGCAAAGTGGTGCTCCTTACACTGTGGTGCTCACAGCTGCCCCTCAAAATAAGGCCCAGTCTCTTTACCCAACCTGTGATCGTGTGTGGCCGGATTCACTCTCTTCTGAGGTAATGTCTACACATCTTGGCATTGAGTGTGCTTTGCCTCCACATGTCACCTGTTAGCAAGGGTATTTTTTCCTGACAGCTAATTGGTAACATACAGAAAAGAAATGTAAAGACACTGTGCTTAAAAAGTTATTGTACATCATTAACTGCCACAAGTGTTTTTTTTTCTTTTTTTTAACTTATTTTTTATTTATATATGACAGCAGAATGCATTACAATTCTTACTACATATATAGAGCACAATTTTTCATCTCTGGTTGTATACACAACCAATTTGTGTCTTCATACTTGTACTTGTACTTTGGATAATAATGATAATAATGATCATCACATTCCATTAATAACCCCATGCCCCCTTCCTTTCCCTCCAACCCCTCTGCCCTATCTAGAGTTCGTCTATCCTCCCATGCTCCCTCTCCCTACCCCACTATGAATCAGCCTTCTTATATCAAAGAAAACATTCAGCATTTGGTTTTTTGGGATTAACTGCCACAAGTGTTTTACAGGGGATGTGGCACTGCCTGGGAATCAAAGAGACAAACTTTTCAGCCTGCTGGTCAATGAGATGAGACATGCACTGAAAATGAAATCCATACCTTAGGTTTCGTTACACAACAGCTTAACTGGCAGTATGTATGCTTCCTGTGCCAGGAGAGTCCTCTCCAAGTAACACTTGTGCTAAAGGTATGCCCAGGACAGCGGGACATCTCCAGTCCCCTCCCTCCCAGCACCTGAACTGGTGGCAGCCCCCAGATACCATGTGACCTTCACCTTTCACTTTGGTTGTGTAAAATCCAACAGCTGCTCCATTTCTCCACAGAATTTTTGCTCGCTCCTTCACAGAATGAGGCAAAAAAAACATGTCATCATCATCCAAACTTCTCTCCAGTCTTCCAAAAATAATGACATTTAGAACGAAAAGTACAATCCTTTCCCCAAAGGACTGAACCTTTAAAGACAAAAAAGGAAAGAAAGAAAGAAAGAATAATCACCAGGTGAGATCAGAGGGGATACATTTTGCACTTGGCATCCATGGCACGCTAGGCCACGTGTGTTCTCTCCCATCACAGGGTTACTTCTGTGTTCAACAGCCAATATGTGAATCATGGTGTCTCCACTGACCTGTTGCACCAATGTGGCCTCCAGGACTGAGTTACAATTCCTGGGTCCCCAGGGCAACAGATGTGGAATGCACATTAACAGAGCACAATCAATCACAAGCTAATGAAACAGGAAGTTACGGGGTGGGGGGGGGCATGGCAGGCCATTTTGGCAGATTTGCTGGATATATCCTGAAATAACCTAATCTGACCTTTTAAACAATGGTGGGGGGGGGGGCTGGCCCTAGAATTCTGGTCTAAAGAGGAGGGGAAATAATTGGAAAGATCAATGGCTACATCAAAAAATAAGGGATTTTCAATAGTTTGTGATAGATTGCAAACACACACTGGAGTCCTAACCCCAGAGAATGACTGAGAATTAAGGCCCACCCCACTGCTGAACTCTCTTACCTATAACCAGATCTTCATGTAAAAGAAAACTGCATTATGGTCAAAATCACGCCCGTGGAGTTATAAGCTTTCTCCTTTACAAGACAAAATGACTTCACACTCCTGTCTGCTAAAATTCTCTGCATCTGTATAGCCTATGGATGGCAAATATGTGGCCAAAATCAGTGACTTTGCTCCTGTACTCACAGCAGACATAGCTATTTGGCTAAGCCTGGAAGCTGTACTAGTCATCTTTCTGTCACTGTGACAAAAAACCAGAGATAAATAAGCTTTGAAAGAGGAAAAGTTTACCCTGGCTCACAGTATCAGAGGTTTTAGTCCATGTGCACTAGGTTCTGTTGCTTTGGACCTGTGGCAGCACAGTACATCATGGCAAGAGCACATGGCAGAAGAGGCCTAATTACCTCATGGCAACCAGGAGGCAAAGAGAGAGGAAGGGGCTGAGGTCCCAAAATTTCTTTCAAGGGTATGCCACCAATGACCTAACTTCCTTCCACTAGGCCCTGCCTCCTAAAGATTCCAAGACCTCCCATCAGCACCACCGTGGGACCAAGTCTTTAATATATGGGCCTTTGGGGACACTTAAGATCCAAGGTATAGCAAATGTGGGCTCAGGATCCTCCTAAATGCAGCCCTGTGGAAAGCTACAAGATACGGACCAAATGTGGCTCATTAGATGAAACTAATCAGCTATTTCCACAATGACAGTATTAGATTGGATTTTACTCCTACAACACTGTTGTTTGACAGCCCACATGTTGTGCTGTTGTGTGGGTATGCTATGTGCACAGACGTGTGCGTCACCACCACATCAGGCACACCATTAACTGGGTTGTGACTTCTACCCACGCGCTACCATTTGATTCTCATCACCCGCTGGGGAGGTCCTGGTTTACAGTTGAAGGAATTGAAGCTCAAAGAAGGTAAGTGATTACTTTTATTGATTTTCCTGCCTGCTTGCAAAGAGAACCTGAGTCATCTGGACAAGGGCTTTGCAGAACCAGGTTGCAAAACTGGCAGGGCTTCTGAGTCCCAGGCCAGTGCGCCTGCTCAAGCCCAGCCAGGCACTGATTCCTTCTGCACCCTTATTTGTTAGAAATGAGACTTTTGGAAAGACAAAGTTTAATGCAAATATTAATGTTTGGCTTTATATTTAACATTTGACCCTTAGACAGTCATCATCACCATCAGCACCCAGACTTTCTAGGAGATCTTCAGCCATTCACAGCTCTTTGAGCCTCAATTTCCCCTGAGAAAGAGGAGGCCAAGGAGGAGGAGGAGGAGGTCACTCAAGTCATCTCTAAAACACTCATCTGGTTTTCAAATGCTTTGATAATAAAAATAAGGCAGCCTGCAGCACCCTCGTAAATGGCACAGTGTTCAGTGCCAGTCAACTTATTAACTGGCCCAGAATGTAAAATATTTTACCTTTATCTGGGGCCAGATCTTAGATGAGGAAGAGATCTGTGGAAAGCTAACCAAGCTCAGCTCTGAGAAGCCACCACATTCTGTGTCTCAGACAGTGGCAACCAAATCAAGTTCAGACTTGGAGAACAACTAGCTAGTCTCAAAACCCAATCGGTGTGATGTGGGAGGTTATATTTTTCAACTCATAAAATCAAAAAGTTCAGGGGAAGCCAGAAGACAAAAACAGATTGCATCTGGCAGAAGGGAAATATCCCACCAAAAACTGGCAGGAGAAAAAGAAGAAAAACAAAATGACCTTAATTTATTCAATTTCCTTACAGAGGGGGGGGGAAATGTGTGACATATGATTTTTTACTTAGAAACATTTCCGAAAACATAAAACTAAGATCCAGTTCTAATCCCTCCTTAGGACCATTAATTATGTTAACAGAGAGAGCATTAAGAAAGCTTTTTAGGTAATTAATGAAGAATGACTGGCTAAAAAAATATGTAATTAAAAGAAAAACAAAAAAAATATGTAAAGACAAAGTTCTATAAGCAAAGAAAAGAAATATTCTCATGTTCAGTGGGAATATAACTTTACAACATGGTTTATTAAGAGGCACCCAAGGTTCTTTCTGTTCACAACACAGGTCACATTTCCAAAAGGTGGGTAGGGGGTTGTTCATCTAAACTCAGAAGAGATGACAAATGAAAGAAGTCTCCACTCTCATTCTGAAACATATGTATAGAGCAATAGGATTCTCCCTAGCATCCAGAACAACCAAATACTAAGTAGTCACCTGGCCCACTTGTGATAAAAGAGCCAGGACAACACACCCAGGCACATCAGGCACCACACAGGGTTCATTCACGCTCTTTTGTTGAATCTCAAGCCATCATGAATTTAATGGAAGAAAATCCTTTGCCTACTGGGCATGGTGACACACAACTTGGGAGGCTGAAGCGGGAGGATTGCAAATTCAAGGCCAGCCACGGCAACTTAGTGAGACTCTAAACAACTTTGGGAGACCCTTTCCCAAAATAAAAAAAAAATTAAAAAGGCTGAGGATATTGCTCAGTGGTTAAGAACCCCTGGGTTCAATCCCCGGTACCAAAAAGAAAAGGAAAAGAAAATCTTTTGCCAAATAATACCTATGGAGTCAATTAAAACCAGACCTAAAACAGACAACCCACAGAATGGAAAAAAGATAGTTGCAAATATTATATGTGATAAGGGACTTGCATGAAAAAGTCCTACAATGCAATAGTAAATGTCAAATAATGCAATTAAAATGAGGGCCAAGGATCTCAACAGACATTTTCCCAAAGAGGGTGTACAAATGGACAGTGAGCACTAAAAAGATGCTCTACATCCTTAGCCATGGGGAATGCAATCAAAACAGCCAAGAGAGACCATTTCACACCTGCTGGGGTGGATAACATAAAAGATAGACAAGCATCGGAGTTGGCTAATGGGCTACGGAGAGAATGCAACCCTCCAACACCAATGGGAGGGATGTAAAAATGGTGTAGGGGCCGTGGAAGGCAGTTTGGCACGTCCTCAAAATTTGACATACAGAGTGACCATATGACTGGCAATTCCACTCCCAGGTATATGCTCAAGAAAACTGAAAATATATGTCCTCACAAAAGCACTCATAGAAGTATTATTCATAGCAGCTACAAAGTGGAAACAAGTCAATGCCCATCACCTGATGAATGGGTAAACAAAATGCTGTGTGTACCTACAAAGGACCAATATTCAAGCAAGAAAAGGAACAAAGCCTGATACATGTTAGAGCAGGGATGAACCTCTGAAGATGATGCTAAGTGAAAGGGGCTAATCACAAGAGGCCACATGTGTACAATTCCATTTCTATGGCATGTCCAGAACAGGTAAATCTAAAATTGAGGCAGAAAGGAGATCAGTGGTTACCATGGGCTGGGGAAAGAGTGGCGTAAGGATGCAGGGTTTCTTTGGGGATAAGGAAAATGCTCTAGAATTGGTGGCGATTGATGTACAACTTTTTGAATACACTAAAAATCACTGAGCTGCAATCTTCAAAAGAGTGAAATGTGTGGTATTTGCATTACATCTCAGTGAAGCTGTTGTTTAAAAAAACTAAACTTTTAAAAATTTTTCAACAGAAAAAAGAAAAACTAGACCAAGAACTTATTCTCCAAACTGAACTTGAACAAACACTGATAGGTCGGTGTTTACTGAAGCCCATGTACATCCAGTGGCATCCCAGACAACTGTGGATAGACCCACCATTTCAAGACTGCAAAGAAGCATGGTCTTTCTCTCCACCTAAAGAATCAGGATAAATATGAAAACAGGCAGATATGAGGCAAACTGTCCAAACTCTTGGCTGGTTTCTACCCACCTCCTTAACCTCTGTCCTAGCCATAGTTCAGTCACAAAGACTCTGCCAGAACCTCTCAGGAACTGCTGCTGTGCCTGCCTTCACCTCACCATCCCAGGGCTTTGCTTATAAGTACTCTACAAAGTACTTATAAAGTACTTACAGCACTTGAAAGACACCAAACCTGACTGACTGTCCGAGAGACGTGAATTGATAATCAGCTAAATCGTCGTTACCCACTCTGTGACGCAGTCTCAATCTCTTCATGTGCAAAACAAATTCTGAAATCCAATAAGCCCTGTTAAAAGTCTGAGGTAATGTACAGAATAGATACATTTCTGAATCTGATGCCTATGAACGTCTGAATGCATCAAGCAGAACTTTCCCACACAACAGAGACAGTAGAGATGACAGTTTCCAAACTCAGGCATGAGAGACCACTCAGGAAGATAAAACAGACTTCCCAACAGCCAGGGATGTATTGAACATAGCCAGCTCTTACCATTTCCCTTGCTGTACTGTATTATGGATTGAACTGTGTCTCCCCAAAAGATCTTGAGGCCCTCACCGCTAGTACCTCTGAATGTGACCTTATTTGGAAGTGAGCTTTTTGCAGATGAAAAGGCCAAGATGAGGGCATTAGGGTGCTCCTAATCCAACCTTTTAAAAAGGGTGAATTTCAAGTTAGACATCTCCACAGAGGACAACCTAAGATACATACAGTGCATCAAGTGTCATCTTCAAGCCAAGTAGACTGAGGCCATCAGAAGCTGAGAGAGAGCCTGGATCATATTCTCAGAGCCTCAAAGGGAAGCAACTGTGGACTCCTTGTTTTGGATTTTCAGCCCCCAGACCTATGAGACTATCAATTCTGCTGTTTGAGCCACCCAGTCTGTGGTAGTTGGTGAGGGCAGTCCTAGGAAATGAGTCACAAAGGTGAACTGCTGCATATTATTAACATGATATTAAGTATGGTGACTCTGAAAACCCTGTTTTGCAAATGTTCACTTAAAACTACATTGCCCGCCTGGAGTGATGGTGCCCACCTTCAAACCTGTAATCTCAGTGACTCAGGAGGCTGAGGCAGGAAGAATACAAGTTTGAGACCAGTCTCAGAAACTTAGCAAGATCCTTTCTAAAAATAAAAATAAATAAACAAACAGGACTGGGCATGTGGCTCAGTGGGCAAAGCACCCCCTGGGGGCTCAACAATCCCCAGTACCAAAATAATAATAATAACAGTAAAAATAACAATAATAAACTTGTATCACCTCACCTTCACGAGACCTTCTCTTGTGGGATCAGAGGTTCTTAGTACATCTTCTGTGGACCACCAGGATTCCTTTAGGTAAACAGCTACAACTAAAGAGAAAAACCAAGAGGAAATGATGGTGTCACAGCCAACCAGCCACCAGGGAATCCCAAAAGCATGGAGCCAGAGAAGGTGCAAAAGATTCTTTGTAGATAAAGCAGTGATATTTTTAGAGCTGAAGTTTCTAAGAGCACTGACCAGGGCAGGGCATGACCATCTCTCACAGGACATCACAGATGCTTCATAGATGGCTCATCAATGATTCCAAAGCAAGACAAGATATATCCCCATGTTGTTGGGAAAAACAAGATACACACCAATATCGACACGTTCGATGGGTGAGAATTACATTTTTCACATGTTGCAAACATTTATCAGTCCAATCATTGGCCACAGCTCATAACTCCCCACAGCCAGTGAAATCCTACATTATCTAAGGGCACTGAGGGAACTCAAGGAATTGCTGCATAAGGAGCGTCGCTAGGGTGCTGGGCTCAGGGCTGCCTTCTTTCATTCCCACAATGAAACTGCTATCAGCACTTCTCTGAGGACACTGAAGCTGAGACATGAAGTAACTCGAAGGCAACCAGCCAGAAGGGACAGAGGTGGGATCTGCCCTGGGGCACTGGACTCTAAATCCAGAGATGAGGTCTGCTCTTAGGAATGGGGTGAAACGTGTGCGGTGGAGGAGCATCTCTGGATAGAAAGGTGCTGGGGCTAGGATACACCAGAGGAGGGAAGGATTGCTCTCCTCTTCCCAGTCTTCCCCCATCCCCATCTGCAGTCCCTGAGGCCTATTGATTCTGCCTCAAAACATCTCTAGGACCAAGTCTGGATGTGGGTCCTGTAATTTAGAAGGAGACACCTAGGACACATTCCCAGATTCCTCACCAGAATTGTCCAAACCAATCACTTGAGTTGACTGAGAAGGTCTCCAGCAAATCAGCTCTCAACACCCAACACAGAGCTGGTGCAAGGTAGGGGCTCAGTGTCTACTTTATAAAGTCAACTGGTGAGTTGATTCTCTCCTCCTCCTCCTCATGCTGCAGTCACCACATCCCATCAGGTCCTCCTCCCATCAAGATCTTCTCCACAGATAACTGAAGTAGCTCCTCTTCCCTTTGCCAGCTCAGTGTCCCCCGCAGCCTCTCCCTACTGAGCAGTCACTCTGAAGGTAAACCCCATCACAGCCTCTGTCTCTGGATCTCCGCTCCTCAACCCACGTTCCTTGCTTAAGAATTGCATTTAAACACCAAAATTAATTGTTTTCTGATATCTTTATATATCCCTTTTATCAACATTTTATACCTGCTTCTCAAAACAGGTATCTGAGCCTGAGGATTCCAGAAGTCACAGAATTAAAAGATGTACTTTCACCATCAAACATCAACATGGAGTTGAAAACAACATTTGACGCAAGGTTCAAGACTTTAAAGTACATTATTTTGTGGGTGACTTGGGGTAAGCTGGCATGGCCTTCTTCCCTATCCTGCTCTGCTATTTAAGAAATGTTAGTAGAAAACACTGGAAGATCAGGCTATAAGGCAGGAGCCAGGTGTCCAACAAGACTGCATAGCCAGCCCCTCTTCTCCAAAGATGAACAGCATCTAACCTGCTAGCTTCATGTCAGTGGTGAACTATCATTTCTGACAATGGTTCCAAAATTCATAGAACCAGCTAAGAGAGAAGGGCCAATTAAATGCTTGACATCTGCCTTCATTTGTTCAACATAATTCATTTCCTAGAACTTACAGGAGCTTTATAAAGCCATAAGGGTTATTTTCATGCTTAACAAGGTGAACTAACCTAAGATGTTCTGCTTACTAATAGATTGCATTTCCATAACACAGATGTTCAATTTACTAATACAGTTTCAAACAGAAAACAGGTTCACATGGTACCTTGCAAGTTTTACAGTGCACTGCAGAGCATTAATTAGTCCCACAAGGTGTCACAAAATAGATTGAACTGGTTGAAGTCTTTTTTCAAAAGTCATCTTGAACTGCTAAATGCATATAATATCAAAAGTGAAGTCCAATCCAATCTAAGAATCTAAAACACGTGTTCCTTAAAACCAACTCTTGAAAAAACACAAATTGGCCTTCTGGAAGGCAGTAGTTTTTGATCAGTGAAGCATGATCCCTCATCCAGAGGAAACAGCAAAGAGAGATGGCAGCAGAGCCCTTGCAGAGAGGCTGCCCCAAGCTCAGCAAGGACAAATGATGGATCGGGGGAACTGACAGGTGCCCAGAGCCAGCCTCAGGGCATCACTGCCAAGATCCTGGAGCCAGCCAGCTCCAAGCGTTAGAAAATAAAAACCACAACATCCCGTGTTTTTAAAAAGGAAAAATACCACCCAGATCAGCATCCCCTCAGCTCTCCACCACCCAGGGCCTGGGAAGAGACCGGACACGTGCAACAAGTTTAGGCCATCATGAGACCAATCAGCAGGGTGTTGTGAAGAGCCAGTCTTGCTGTGCCAACAAAATTTCTCTCTCCCTCTGAGTGACAGGTGACACAGACCACAAGGAAGATGTCAGTAATGGATTTTGTTCTATTACTCTCCCAGGTTTCCAAAACAAGACAGTGAGGTCCCTAAGCAAACTCTCAGTGGCCCAGATGTACCCAAGGTGAAGCAAGATCAACTGAATTCAGCTCTGCTTGGCTGAGTTGTGGACTGCACAAACAGCGTGTCCTCAGTCCTTGGGGAATGAGCCTCCATCCTGATCCCTGGGAGCTGGCAGAATGCAGAAGGAGAGAGAGATAAACAAGCGGTTCCAACACAGGGCAGGGCATGATGGATCCTAGAACTGACTGACATAAGGACCCAGATGAGGGGAACTGCAAGTGTCCAGAGAGCTCACCTACTTTGGATCACTGGGTAAAGTTTCAACAGGCAGAGACACCAGGTAAGGCACTGTGGACAGGTGGGGATAACGTTGAGCAGAGGCACAGAGCCCTTCAGGTCCAAGGCCAAGTTTAGACAAACCAAACATCAGGGAAAGCCAGTGAGAACTAATAAAAAAGAAACAACTGCAAACTCTGGCTTAACCAGACAACAGCTTCATTCACTCTCAAGTCTAAAAGACCTCAGTGTCAATGGACAGCAAGACCACATGAGGCATTTTAGATACAACCCTGGATAGTTGCTGGTGCAGGGAAAGGAATTCAGATTTCAGAGCCAGACAGGGCTCAAATTCTGGCTCCTCCAGTTACCAGTGACCTGAACCCATCCCCTCCTGACAGCTTCACCCACCTGTCAAATGGAGACCACAATGTCCTCTCCCTGATTCTCATGCAGGTTCAGTGAGAGAGTTCATCTCACCAAACTGTTTTTCTTAAGGTTTTGGGAAATTTCCAATAGCTTCTAGAAATTTCCTCCACCTGCTTCAAGTCCTGCTCTGAGATTGCAAAGAAAAATGGGAAAAAAAAAAAAAAAGCTGTTGTTATTTCCAACGTCAGACAATGCACTTTGTAAGACACTATCTCTCCCTTGGGAGCTCTCTCTCCCCCAAAAACATCTTTCTGCTCCTGTTTGCATAAAAACATCTGTCTGTCTTTCACAGAAAAGCACATACAACGTTCACTCAAGGAATTAAGTTTGGATTCCAGCTTAGGACACCTCCAACTTAGAGGAAGGGCTGGAACCTGGGACATGAAACAGAATAAAGTCAGAGCAGCAGGCTGTGTGCGGCAGGAAAGCAGGGGAAGAAGCAGGTCATTCAGACTGAGAGAACCAGAGAGGCTGGAAGGGCAGGTGCACTGAGCAGGGCCAGAAGAAGGGACCAGACAGCAGTAGGGGGAGAGGACCACCCCAGGTGGGGGAAGTGACAGCCACAGAGATGTAAGAGGGCATGAATGGGAACTGTAGCAAGTCAGAGCCAAAGACGTAGGGAGACTCAGGGAGATGAGGCCAGTCAGGTAATACGGGACTCTGTAGACAGCTACAGTCATCATGCTTCAGAGGGACACAATCTAATTACTGACTTAAAATAATAATATCCAGCACAACATGTCCAAGCACTCACCAAGGGCCAGCCACAATGCCAAGTTTAGTATTTCACAGAATGGTTCGCAGTCTGATTCTGTTTCCCAGGTGAGGCTTAGAAGGGTTAAGAGATCTGCTCACAGTCCCATGCCTGTGAACAGCAGCACTGATGATGGATGTGAGCCTGCATGGGGCTCACTGGTTCCCAGGGCCCTGCTCTAAGCACTGTGCCACAGGTGAAGACGGGACTGACAGGACTGCAGAGCAGGGGCCAGGCCTGGGCAGAAGGCTGGCAGAAAGAGAGAGAAGAGGAGGGGACAGCAGGACAGGCCAACGCACTGTGCTGAGAAAGGAGCAGATGGAAAGGGAAGGCCACAGCAGAGCCAATGCTTCTGGCCTTGCATTACGCTGCAGGACTGAGAGGGGCGCCTGCCATGCCCTAGGCAAACACTGACTCTATGCCGGCACTACACTTGGCATCAGGGGTCCAGGACAGAAGACACAGCCCAAAAGGACTACAACAGGCCACCTTGTCATGACCACACGCTGTGCAAATGCCTCAAGACATGAGCAGCCACTAGGAACCCACTCCAGGACTGCCTGGGAGGGCTCAGGGCAGAGTTACAAGACCAGGCCTGGGCCAGACACATGGTGGCCAGCTAGTGAGCAGGCAAAGGCCATGGAAGCTCCCCAGAGGCCAGGCCAGGTATTGGCTTTGTAACAAGTCATGAGAAGAGTCCAGGAAAGTAAGAGTTATTTGATCAGAACGGTGTTTTAGGAAGAGAACAATTGGCTACAACCAGGCGGGAGGAGATAGTCCTTCTGCAATTAAAAAATATATAAATATGCTATTGAGGGCTGGGGATGTAGTTCAGTGGCAGAAGATGTGCTTAGCATATATGAGGCCCTGGATCCAATTCCCAGTCTCCCAAAAAAAAATTATTTGAAAGGATTATAAGCTATATGATATTATAATGATGGATAAGTAAAATTATACAATTATCCAAACCCACAGAATATACAACATCAAGAGTGAATCTAATTTCAACTATACACTCTGAG